TCTTTAAAATTTAAGGTCAAGTATTTGTTCATGTTCAGCATCTTTTCCTTCCATTATGTCGATCTTTTGCTTCCATTATGTCGATCTTTTGCATTGTCGAGCAGAGAAAGATTAATAAAGCTAAAGCATCAGTTGAAGGCCAAAAACTGATAGCTTAACCTACATTTCTTGGTCCAATCATAAAGTGAACATTGAGAAGTAATAACGTATCTTTAAAATTTAAGGTCAAGTATTTGTTCATGTTCCGCACTAAAACCATTAATTAGCAATGTAATAATAATTTTATTTCAATCATATATCAACACAATACTGAACAATTGATTGATTTTACTTACAATATAACACAACAAATCATCATATAGTGTAACAATATGTACTTATTTAACCACACATATAATCAAGAAGGTGGCGGCCAAGCGCAAGTAAGGTTCTAGCCTAGCGGTGGGAGGGGCTTGTCCCCTTCCTCCGCACCTGGGTTCGAGCCTTACCATGCACGTCTGTCACTCCCGCGGTGCCTTACCTGTTCACTGGGTTTGCAGGATGTTCAGTGGGTCATGTGGATTAGTCGTGGTGCGCGTAAGCTGGCCCGGACACCCCACGTAAATCAAAAAAAAAAAGAGGAAGGTGACGGCCAAGTGCTAAGAACTTGGGACTAAGGGGTATGCTTCCTCTGTGGTTTCAGGTTCAAGTCCTTGGTTGCTTATATGATGATCACTGAAGGCTTACATGGTTATTAACTTCAGGGCCCGTGGGATTAGTCGTGGTACGCGTAAGTTAGCCCGGACACCTACGTTAATTTAAAAAAGGAATCGTGTTTGGTAATCCTGAAAGGTATAGCTTAACTAGTTAGGTCTTGAGTTTACTTTCTAAAGATTATCAGTTTAAATTTTATAAACCCCAGAGTTACTAGAGGTTTATATAATCGTTAACTTTAAGATCATGAGATTGGTTAAGACACATGTAAGCTAGTTCAGATACTAATTAATAAAAAAAAAATCATGTTTGGTCATAGATATACAGTTATCTTTTAAAGAGTGGATTAGCGCTCTAACATTTTATCTTCTAAAAAATATTTTTATCAAAGTAGCATAAGTTCAATCAACACGTTTTATCTTCAACAAAATCAGTCATTGATTGATATTCAAATACTCGCAAAATAAATTAGGTGGTGTGCTGCTTCAAATGTTTGAATAATTTTCATAATTTTTTAATAATTAATAACGTGTAAGTTTAAGATTAATTTCACTATTGTATTTTAATTTTTTTTAATCATGAATTAATTATTTGAATTTGATTAGTTATTAAGTGGTGCATGAATAATGTTTTTAAAATGCTAAAATCATATTTACATTTCCAACGATTTAGAAAGGTTTATTCACTTTAATTGGTATTAAAATTTATCTTATTTTTATTATTATTTTAAAGTATTATCAATTTCATCAATTTTAATTCACATTGAGAAAATATAATTTGTAATTAAAACAAGATTCTAATAATATTTCATTAATTAAACATGATTTCTTTTTTTATATATTTTCAATACTGAACCCTTAGGCTATGTTTTTATAACATCATAATTTAAATAATCATTAAAATTTAAATAAGTGACTAAGCTTTCATATATATTATTGCACATGTGCGACGTCGCAATTAAAACATTCACCCTCAAATATTATCTAATGTGTTAAATATGGGGAGACAAGGAATTCTTGTATTTTATTAGTGAAAAAATAAAATGGGAGCCACCATATAGTATTTTGATTACTAAGAACCCTAACTGGTTTCAAAGATCGAATACGGGGACGAGTTGTGTAAAGTGAATGTATTACCACCTCAAATACGCCCTACCTAAGGTATGTTGTATTATTTTATTTTTTGATAAAATCTAAAGTCTTGTCGTGTTCTCTTATTGTTGGTCCATCTGTGATTTAAGAAAAATTCTCCTTAGTAAAGAAATTCTTATCTTATCAAATAAAACTTAACTGTTCTAACTGGAATATGTCTTACGTATAAGGTTGCAACCTCAGATATTAAAAAAAAACAAAATAATTTCTTTTCAAATATTGACTTAATTCTCACGACTTTAATAAACTATTTATTAAAATCAAAATGCATGCTAATACATATTTTTAAAATTTTCTTTGTTGTATAAAAATACAATATGATTTTTTTTGAGACATATGTATGGAAACAAAATATTTTATTTTATTTTTTAAAAATAGTTTTGTTGACGAAAACCAAGTATTTAATATCGGATTTGTATCTTTATAATATAAAAATTAAAACTAATATTGATCAAAATACCGTAAAATATTTGTGGAAAATCATAGATTTTTTAAAGAAATTTTTTACTTTCGGGCTGGGCCCAACCCGGCCCATGTGGCTGGGCTGGACCCAGCCACCCGTGCACGGTCACTGGCCCAAGCCAGTGACCCAAATAAATCATGCACGTGTAAAATTTTACAAGTGCATGGAACAGTGCGAAGGTAATTATGTTACCTTCGTACTGTTCATGCTCGTTTTTGCAGATAGCAAAAACGAGCCCCTGTTTAAAGTGCAGAAGGATTCTTGTAGTTTCTTGCGTTTTCTCTCTGCTTCTGTTTTTTAGACTAACATGCGTCAATTCTTGTACAGACAGAGAAAGGAAATAAGCATACCTGGTTCTGAAGAAAGTGGAGCCGATGGTGGCAGCGGCTTACTCTGTTGTTTCCTTCGTTCTGGAAAAGAAAGAGCAGATGGTGGCTCAACTCCTCTGTTGGTGTTGAGTTTTCTGCTGGTCCTCGGTTCCTTTGTTGGTTTCGCTTCCTCTCTGTTTTCTCTCTTATCCTGCTCACTCCCTCTGCCTCTCTCTTCTTTACACTCTCTTCTCTCTGTTTTTTTTCTGCTGTCCTCCTCCTGTTTTCTCTTCTTCTCCCCCCTCGTTCCCCCATTTTCTTTCTGCCCTTGCTCTCCCTTCTCTGTTCTTCTTCTCTCTCTTTTTTTCTGCTGTCTCGTTCTTCCCCCCCTCCCCCTTCCCTCGGGTCCTTCTCCCTTTTAAAGCCAAAACTGCATGCGTCTTTTTTTTATAATGAAGACGTTCAGGACCATTATTACAGTGGTAACGATAGAGAAATAGTATATGTGAAACGTTCCCCATAATCTATGGCATTTGTTGCTGAAACGGTTCCTGTTTGCTGAATTGGTGGAGAAGACAATGAATAGTACCTCTAAAACGGCACCGTTTTATAACTTAAATGACATTTCTCATTTGGTCCTTGGATGTTTTTACAATTTTGTAATTAAGCCCCGGATAAATTTTAATTGGATCCCTTGATTTTAGCAATTTTTCTGGTTTGGTCCTTAGTTTTCGATTGTTTTAATCAAGTCTCTAATTGCCTATCAAACTTCAATAATTATATAATTAAGCCCCTAATTTGACTAAATCAACTTTTCAAAATTATAATTACACTCCTAAACTTTAATTTCATCCAATAAAAACCTAAGTTAACTTAAAAATTAGTTTTTTTTTTGCAATCAAACCCTCTATAAATTCAACCAAACCTTAAATAAAATTTAATTAAGTTTATAAACATCTGATTTTAAACTTTTCTTCCTTAAATTAAATTTTGTTTGTCAATAAAGCTCTTACCAGTAAAAAATATAATGTTAAATTTCAATTCTTGTATTTTTAAACCTTCTCAACCAATTTCTAGTTATTTTATGGATGTTCTAGCATCATTTTCTACTTATTCTTGTTTTTAAATATTTTTTGATATATATTTTTATTTTTATTTTAAAGTGTTTATATTATAAATAAATTTATAAATATTTTTAATATTTTAGATAACAAACATTTTAAAAAACAACTATAACCATAATTATAACGACTGCCTCTCCTCTTCAACCCGTGATTTCACATGTCATCTCTCCTTTACCAATGTCTTCTTCCCAATCCCACTTTCTCACATGCATTTTTGGTCTTCGATAGATTTCTTTTAACTTATAAAATTGCATTCCCATGTTAGTGGAAGGGCCAAACTTCAAGGAAAAGATTTGAAGGCTTAAGAGTTTAATTAGTTTATGACTTTATGTTAAAGACCCCTTCTGATTAATGTTCCGAGCATCTGTTGACTCCCAGCTTGGAGTTTCTCATCTTAAGATTTATTTACAATTTAAATCAAGTATCAAAGATAATCTAAAAGCTAATTAATCACACGTCATGTATCTTAGAGCAGCATCAGCTTAAGATCACTGACTTTAAATAAAAAAACATAGAAAGCTATTAGAAGTATATATGTGTTCGTCATATTATCTACGACTACGATTAATTATGCATAAAAAAAGAATATATTCAACAAACTAAAATGTAATTAGCAACACTATTTATAATTTAAGAAATAGATATAAATTCTCAAAAAGAAAAAACAAATAGTACTCAATTTTATATTCAATGAAGTTTATGCGGAGCAAGACAGAAGAGAGAGTACTCAACAAACTAAAATATAATTAAAAACTATACTTGCAAGTAAAGAAATAGATATGAAGTCTTAAAAAAGATCACACTAAATTGGCATTAATTAATTAAATATAATTAATACTGTAGGGAGTGTGGAATGGACCGCTACTTGTAGCCATAAAGCTTGCGGAAGATTTCACCTTCTCATATAATTTTATAAAAAGCAAAACACGCGTGGTTTTTACTGAGCAAACATATGCGTGCATTGGTTTGGGCTCAATGAGTTAGAGGAGGAGCTAGTCTACTCCAAGGAAATACAAACCTTTTTTGTATACAAATGAAGTCTGCTAACATTTGCGCAAGGCTTATTGATAATTATATTATTAGAGGAGGGGCTAGTCTACTCAGCATGTAATTATAAAAAGTAAAACCCACCAGAGAGTAATTAGCTAGGATTGAGAGAAAAACAGAAAGGGAAGAAAGAATCCCTTGAGTATTTATTTTGAGCTGGGTTTAAGTTGTTAGGGTTGGAAAATTTATATATAAAAATATCTATACATTATCATAAAATCTAATGATAATCTTATTCAATAACAGCACAAATAAATCATAGCAGACAAAGCAAACACACATGATTTCTCATGGAGTCTCTCACGCACACATCAATGTTCTCTTGTCACCACCACATAATTAGACCCTGTAATTACAAAATAAAAAAGAAGAGGCAGAAGGTTTTCATCACCAAACTTAATATTACCAATTGGCTAAGAAATTGGATCTATTTCCAACACCCTGGAAAACGCATCGTACAACCCTCCACTATTGGCTGATGGAGTATCATCGCCTTCGGAAATCTGCTGAGGGCTTATCTCAGCTTCAAGTACACTGACGACTTCGGACATTTTAGGCCTGAGAGTAGGAGACAGATTAACGCACTTCATTGCCAAGTGCAAAACAGTGAGAGCCTGCTTTCTGTCGTAACTGGATGCTAATTTCTGGTCCACCAAGTCAAGGATTCTTCCCTCATCGTGCAAAACACTAGCCTGCAATTGAAAAGCAAGATTAGCTTAGCTCCCAGTATTAATGAAATAATCAAGTAATTATTACTTATTATTTTCTAATCAATTAAAAAAAATCAAGGAATTAAATAACTCTAAGCAATCAAGAAATTAATTATTTCAATCATCCAATTAATAATCAAGCATAGTTTTTATAATTTATTTTATTTTATTTACTTATGTGTCTTGTTGTATAAGCATATAAACTCCACATGAGTTGAATGTAACAAATATATTAAATTATTAAATAATAATATTCTTTTACATTCTAAATTTCTTCTTAGTATCCGAGCAGGTTGATTATATTATGTTCTAAATATTAGCTTTTTCTGTTTTGATGGATAATTTTATGTCATCCATCCAATCATTTTAATACACTTTGTTTTCAAACTTTTCATTATCTATCAAATATTTAATTTATTATTCCTTTTCAATGATAAATCAACTCATTATAAGGAGAAATTATTTCAAGATCATGTGGATGATCAAATAGCATTCAAAGAATTAAAAACAAATAGAGGTGCAACAAAGTCCAACAAGAGAATTGAGATTCTACATCAAGAGAAAAACATGTAAAAAGAAATTAAAAAAACAGAGAGAGAGACTTAGTGCAAGTTGATGTGTTTTTACACAAAAGATGGTATAAAAAAGACCACCTACAAAAAAGAAAAAAAAAAGAGAGATAGTTCTTCCTAACAAAAAAGATAGAAAATGGCAAAAGAGTCATGATAAGAAAAACATATTAGTTTGATGAAGAGTGAGTCAAAATAAAATAAGCACTTGAATAATTAAATTTTGAAAAGAAATGTTTGGCTAAGAAAGTATAGCAACAATCATGAGAAAATTAAAAAGAAAAAACTAATAATAGCTATGTTCAAAAAAAATACAATTATTAAAGATAAGCATATAATGACAATAGAAGTTTTTATATCAAACTCAAGAAAAATAAAATTATCATGAGTTTGAGGGGGTGTATTAAAAAAATAATCAATAAAAAAGAGATATCAAGGAATTGAACAACTCTAGGTAATCAAGAAATAATTTTAATCATCTAATCAAAAATATTTTTCTATAGTTTATTTTATTCTTTTTTTTTAATGTTTCTTGTTATATGATTATATAAATCTTGCTTGAGTTGAGTATAACATATAATTCAAATTATTAAATAATAATATACTTTTCTATTATAAATTTCTTCTGTGAGCTTGTTGTAGAATTCACAAGTCATCCAATGTTGGCAGAACTAGTTTGGTTTGATAATAACTACAAAAAAAAAAAAAAAACTAAGAGGGTTTATCCTGTCAGATACACTTACTTTATCCAGAAGAAACTTAGCTTCTTCTTGATTGGGTGTATATTCCGCACTAACTGTCCCGCTAACTATTTCGAGTAGGACAACTCCGAAACTGTAAACATCAGCTTTAACAGTATCTATTGCTTTTCCCATTGAATACTCAGGTGCTATGTAAACTCTGCAATAGGAGATTAATTATTGGTTAATTAGCTCTTAATTAAAAGAATGAAAGTAGTTGTCAATCAATGATCATAATACTTACCGCGACTCTTTTGCTTCGATGTTCATAAATGGATCTTCCTCATCACAAAGCGTTGCCAATCCAAAGGCAGACAACTTGGCCGTAAGAGAGTTATCAAGCATAATATTACTAGGATTTATGTTTCCATGAACAATCCTTTTCTCTTCATGCAAATACTTCAAACCTCTTGCTATTCCCAGACAGATATCAAATCTAGCTTTCCAATCAAGCGTTGTCGTGGAATTTGGTTCTACAAATCAAGATTATTGATATTAAGTTATTGATATTTGCAAGTACACAATCCTTGTACTAACAGAAGATTTAAATATACAATTAGAAGCTCTCGCAAACATTGAGTGACTGAATTCTATTTACTCCTGTGTTATAGTTCTCGACAATTATATGAATTTCACAAGGCAATGCATTAGGTGAAAATTAAGATAAAACTTTGAGAAGCGAAAGAGCAGGATGAAAATTGGTCGATGGCAGTATTACCGAACAACGCACGTTGAAGGGAGCCTTTCTGCATATATTCATTTACTAGCAGATGCAGGTCTTTATTAGAATAGCCACCCAATAATTGAACAAGATTCTCATGATCCAAAGATTTCAGTTTGGAGATTTCCCCTTGTAATTCATCTTTTCCTTGTTGCTTTGAATTACGAGGAGAAATCTTCATCACTGCTAATTTTCTCTCACAAACATCATGTAACGGAATTCTATTACTCCTGCACGTGTTTTAGTTCTCAACAATTATATGAATTTCACAAGGCAATGCATTAGGTGAAAATTAAGATAAAACTTTGAGAAGCGAAAGAGCAGGATGAAAATTGGTCGATGGCAGTATTACCGAACAACGCACGTTGAAGGGAGCCTTTCTGCATATATTCATTTACTAGCAGATGCAGGTCTTTATTAGAATAGCCACCCAATAATTGAACAAGATTCTCATGATCCAAAGATTTCAGTTTGGAGATTTCCCCTTGTAATTCATCTTTTCCTTGTTGCTTTGAATTACGAGGAGAAATCTTCATCACTGCTAATTTTCTCTCGTTCGGCAATTCAGCCTGCATACACGTGAAATCAATTTACCAGAACTCTGAAAGAAAAAAGTGCAAGTTGAGGAACAAATGTTTCAAAAAAGAAAATCTGACCTCGTATACTATTCCAAAGCGTCCCCTGCCAATCTCCATTTTGGGGCTAAATTTTCGAGTAGCATCGATTATTTCTTTGGGGGTGAAAGATTCTCCATCTCCTTGATCTCCTTGGACCTGTATAGTTATATCTATTTGAAGAAAACATCTAAGTAAGAATTCTTAAGGTTGTATAGTGCATAATGATTTTAGATTAGCATAGAGAGGTACCATCCAAATAGCTTTTCTGCAGCAAGCCCATTTTCCACATGTAAGCCGACAGGAGTAGAGAAGCAAATACTGAACCAGCAGTAATCCCTGCAATTTGTGAAGGAGATAGTCCCGTTCTAACTTTGAAGTCTGGATACAAATAGTGGAAGACAGAAAGAAAAAATTCTTTATCCAGATAAAGGGTAGCAGAAATATTTGCTCAACAAATTAAGAGAATGCAACTCTTTACTTGCAGTTACGGAAATGCCTGACACAAGGGGTCCATTTAGAGACAGTGCAGCAGGTGAATTGAAAAATCTTGGCTCCAGGAAAGTTCCTTTGCCAGCCCGGAAAAAATGGATAGTCAATAGATGATCATCTCCTACATATGCTGTGAAATTTCGAGTCCACGTCTTATTGGTGCCGCTGACCATTTCTTTTATGTTGAAGTCTTTCAGTTCTCTCTTCCCCTATACCAAAAATGGATGTTGAATGGTGGAAATTTTTTAAAGAAGCTGCAGAAAAATATAGCGGTTACCTGTATATATACATCAAAAACACGTTTCCCTAAATTCGAATAATCTTCATCACTTTGGTAAACAGTTTCAGCGAAGTAAAGTTTCACAGTGTAATTTCCTTTAAATAAACAGAAGCCGTAATATGTCAGAGAAAGAGGACAGAGGCGAGTTGAGTTGTATAACTGTGTCGCAGCAGAATCACAAACTCCACAGTCCACGTTTTTTATGTAATCACTGGAATCGTAAGTTTTCGATCCGAAGTCTCCAGAACAAGAATAAGCCCAATTTTTTCTTGGAGCTGAATAGTAATTTGATGTTGCACTGTCTGCTTCAAACTCTTTCCCATCAAAAACTGTGCCTTCTCCTCCACAATCTATATATAAGGAATCGTCTGCAAAAAGTGATAATCAGTACAGAAAATCTGTTCTGCGCAAAATTATAGAGCTTCTCAATAGAACTTACACTTTGGTTTTCCCCCACATTTATCTGTCAAATCACGTATAGAATTCCTAGAAATAGCAAACAACATTTGTAAGAAATAGCTTAGGATTATTTGTTCTAAATTAATTGCACCATAAGGAGGGTATTACCATACCTGTTTGGTTCACTGCTTGAGTAGGAACAACATGCAAGCGGTTGGCGCACATGATACAAAATGATCAGAAGTTGGAATTTTATAGACAACAATATTCTTGCAAGTGAAAAAAAAGGAGGAAAAAAATGAAGTTGCCGTTATTACATGTTCAGCTTTCCTTCTCCTTTCTTCGGACCATCATCAAAATTATTATATGACAAGTCCCTGCAACATTATTGTTTACATATCAAGATTTTATTGAGGCATTCTACAAAAAGGAAAACAACCCATCTGAGCAAAGAGCACAAAGCCATAACATACGCCTTGTCTTTAATGTTATCAGGAACCCAGGAAGGTACTGGGCCATTCAGCATATTCCCTGTGAGAAACCTAAACAAAACGAAACCAGTATGAAAACCATCCCATGTACTTTTCAACAGAGTGGCAGAACGATCTTATTATAAGACATCGAGTTCAAGGAATCTCTTTTGCATACATCTTACTTAAATTCAGCTTTTTCATGGAATCTGGTATTCCACCCGTTAAGTTGTTAAAGCTCAAGTCTCTGCAGGATCAAAAAAACGAAAGCAATTAATCGTTATCCTACATATTTGATAGTTGTGCTAAGGTCAATTATTCCATAGTTGATTCTGTAAACACAATCAAAATCATCAACACTTCTAATGAATAATGCATGCCAGAACTACAAAATCTTTTACCAAAGAGGAAATGAAACTTACAGGTATGTTAACGATGACCAATCACCAATGTACGAGGGGATTCCACCACTTAGTGAGCAATTCCTTATCATCCTACACAAATCATTGGAGAAGTTGGTGTTTGGATTTATCCAATGCATACATATCATTAAGAGTCACGTACATAAATATTGACAAAAAAAATACAAAACACAACATTGTGACTTCACGATTCTGTTATGGCTACATTCAGGATAAATTTACTATAGTCGTTAAATATATATATATATATATATTAAATTCTCAAACTTGAATCCCAGATACAACTAGTCTTCACAGCATGTAATAGCTCATACAAAAAACTCAAGATAATATAAAGAAAAATAGGCCTAAAAAAATACAATCCGAATTCTACAACAATAACGCTCCCAGACAAATATAATTTCAAGTGTGTATGGTTTTATTTATTCAATGTGAAATTAATCTTTATACCGTATCCACAATTCTACAACCACAATCTCAAAATTTTTTGGCTTTGCCACTTTGAAATTATAACAAAGTTAATGCATGTGAAGTGTGGTGATGTTGGTGACAGTTAAGCTATAAGCTCATTGGCCGGACTAAGGAAGTTTCAGGCATTCTTCTTTTCTTTTGTTTTTTCCTTTTTAATTACAAATCTCAAGTTAGTTATGCATGTGAGCTTTTGCCCTTAGTGTGAGCTTTAAAGAAAAGCAAAGGAAGGAAAAACTCACAGGTATCTTATTTTCTTGATATTTGCCTTTTTTGGGAAAACGGAGATATTTACATCACTAACAAACCTGGAAGAAAAACCATCCAGAATAAAACATGCATTTATTTCAACCCAGTGAAAATTATAGAACACTTACAAGTATCGGAGATTTGACATGTTAAAAAAAAGTTCAAGAGGAAGCTCTCCAAAATCATTTCCGGAGAGGGACCTGTGATCAGTACACACAAAGACAAATTATTGAATGATATTCATCGACAGTTTCTCTGCTCAAATGGTTGGAGGTAGACATTCAGCATTGAGAAATCAGCTCAATCAACTAATATTGCTTACTTTCACATGTGTATGATTACAGAAAGTACAAGTGATTTCTTACAGGTAAGAGAGTTCAGTCCAATTCGCAATGAAACTTGGTACTTGACCGGTCAAACGGTTCCCAGCTACGCTACTGCAGCCATAGTTAGTTGCTTTTCCTTGGAACAATAATTAAACAGATTGTTGGCTGAAATAACATGATGAGTTGCACTTACAACCACGCCAATTGATCCGAACTAAAGTTGGAGTAATTTCCCTGCAGTTCTCCACTCAAATTGTTGGAGCCCAGCTCTCTACAACAACAAATCAAAAGGATTGTAATCCACCCTTTTTCTATTTTATTTCTCCTCTTACTATCTTCCGTGGTTTTACAAGGTGGTATGATATATTATTCTTCTTTTTGAAACTTACAAAACATATAGAGATCTCAATCTTCCAAGTTCTGGATCAACTAATATTGCTTACTTTCACATGTGTATGATTACAGAAAGTACAGGTAATTTCTTACAGGTAAGAGAGTTCAGTCCAATTCGCAATGAAACTTGGTACTTGACCGGTCAAACGGTTCCCAGCTACGCTACTGCAGCCATAGTTAGTTGCTTTTCCTTGGAACAATAATTAAACAGATTGTTGGCTGAAATAACATGATGAGTTGCACTTACAACCACGCCAATTGATCCGAACTAAAGTTGGAGTAATTTCCCTGCAGTTCTCCACTCAAATTGTTGGAGCCCAGCTCTCTACAACAACAAATCAAAAGGATTGTAATCCACCCTTTTTCTATTTTATTTCTCCTCTTACTATCTTCCGTGGTTTTACAAGGTGGTATGATATATTATTCTTCTTTTTGAAACTTACAAAACATATAGAGATCTCAATCTTCCAAGTTCTGGTGGAAGCTGACCAGTGAGTTCATTGAAGTCCAAGTACCTAATTCAATAAGAGATATGAACCAAACCGAACTCAATAAGTTAAAAGGAAATTCAAGGAGAATGAAAGAGCAAGCGAGCGAGTTTCTATACATATATCGGAGATTAGAGAGGTCGCCCAATTCTTTAGGGATTTGACCTGATAACATATTACTTGACAAACTCCTGAAAATACCCACAAGAATAAGAGCACAAAACTTGCATCAGCAATGGAAAAAGAATTTAATTGACAATATATGATACTGAAGAAACTGTGATTGGATGACACGTACAGATGTCTGAGTTTCGTCAAATTCCTCATAGATAAAGGTATGGAGCCAGTGAGGAAGTTTCTCGAGAGACGGCTATGCAAATAAGTTCATTATTACTCAAATAAGAACCAAAAATATAACTTTTATGAAGACAAACTAAGAACTGAAATTAGTTATTATATATGATCCTAAAGCTAAGCAGCTCTTTGCTCATAACCATGCAGATATCCAAACAAGCATTAACACAGTTAAGCAATTAGCCAAACAAGGCTACAATCCTAATTACATAAGAGAAAAGAACCAAACAGAACTCAGAAGTTAATTTTTGTGACCATTTACCATAGTTATAAGACCCAACCCGGGGTTAACCTAGCCAAGGAGCCGAGTCTCGAGTTACACGGGTTGACCCAGGTCAACCCCAATTAATCTGGAAAAATTAAAAAAATATTTGAAATTTTTTAAAAACAATCAATTTGAATATAAGTTATACATATTATAAATAATAAAATTTTAAATATTATTTCAAAATATTTTTTATTCCACATTAAAAAACATGATTTAATTTTTTTATATAAATATATAGTATATATACTAAAAGACTTCAAATCCCACAATAAAAAAAATAAAACATTCTTTTAGTATTTATATACTAATATTTGAAAATAGTTAATGATTAACTAAAAAATATATAAAAAAGAGGGGTTTCTAATTAGAAAAAAAAATATTTTAAAAAAAAAATCTCAAGTAGATTTTACTGATTTTTTGCTCATTTTGATCTTTTATTTTACTCAAATCAATTTAACAATCAAGTCAATCAGGTTTTTGATCAACCAACAAATCTGATCCGAGTTTAATAACTATACCATTAACACCTTGCCATGAACATTTATAAGTATCAAGACCCCATGCGGCTTGCCCTTATTTTAATTTCTAACAAAGCTAATTTTACTTGAAAATGTTTCCCCGAAAATTCTATTAAAAAATCTTAACTATTACAACTATAAGTATAATCTATCAGTTGTCTATTCAGTAGTTTCTTTAATTTAATGAAGCAAATTTGAGTTCTTAACTCAAATTTTCACCATTATAATATAATTACGTAGTCCTAAACACTTTATTCTCCGAATGAAAATGAGATCTTAACTATTATTTAATGGAATATAATTTAAAAGAAGTGATTTTAGAAAACAAAAATTAATGTTAGATTTGTGTGTGTGTATATTCTGAAAATGCATACTGAGACTATAATTTTATAGAACTCTTGATAACAGAAGTTACAAATTGTATGCTCTTTTCTTACCATTATATATTATTCTTTAAAAGAACAGCAATCGTATAATATCAAACCCAACTATCCAAGATGTTCTCCTATAATTTATATAAAAATGGATGTTCTTCGATACCCAAGTCAAACTTTTTGGTTAGTGCCATTTAAAAAAAAAAAATTGATGATGGATAGTTTGCTTTTAACTATATTAGAAATAACAAATTTAGTTTTGAAGCATGAAATCTAAATCCTTGATTAGGAAAAAAATTAGAATCTTTAAAAATTGGACATGGAATGTTTCTGAAAAAAGTCAATATTAATAAAATACATATAAACACCCACAATAATAAGAGCACAAAACTTGCATCAGCAATGGAAAAAGAATTTATTTGACACTGAAGATGATACTTACATTAACTATATCATGCTGAAGAGACTATGATTGCATGATACTTACAGATATTCAAGAGACGACAAATTCCCCAAAGATGGAGGTATGGAGCCACTGAGGAAGTTTGTGGAGAGATCGCTATGCATATGTATTACCATATAAGTTTATTATTACTCAAATAAAAACCAATAATATAAATTTGATGAAGACATACTAAGAACTGAAATTAGTTACTGTATGTGATCCAAAAGCTAATAAGCTGCTCTTTGCACATAACTATGCAGACAGCCAATAAGAAAGTTTTCGGAGAGATCGCTATGCATATGGGAAGTTGGAAGACATTCACCGTAAATTAATGGAAATATAACAAAAGATTACAAACATCAAATGATGAATCATTGCAGATTTCTTTGCTGGTATTTTTGGGAGGCCACTTATATTTTATTTATTTTTTTACCTTTCCAAACACACATCTAAATTATACTTGTAATATATTTTTCCTCTTTAATGAAACAATATAAAAAAATTATACTCGTATTTAATTTAACATATCTACATATATTACTATTAAATATTAAAAGATTATAAAATTATTTGGGATATATATATGCTCGCGCGCGGGGGCGCGCCTTTTATTAAAAGATTATAACATATGTACAGTTTAATTTTGATGGCATCATTTCTCCAAGAACAGGATTTACTTTTAATCATGTCTTGAATTTTTTTGTTGTTTATACAAAATCAACCCAAGGATTGTACGACTTTAATTGTGTGGTTTTCCTGGGATCGATGTTGCTTTAACAATAGGCGAGTATTGATTAATGCACAATATGCCTATTTAATTTCTATAAACAAAATGTTATAATTTGGATTCTATGTGTCCTTGACAATACCCTTCCAATATACTATTCCGATTATTTAGTGAAACAGTTATCTAGTCTAACATAATCTAAGCATAGGAGTCGTCCTTAATGACAATATTATTTTTAATTATAAATGTAAATATTTTAAGACGTTAATATTATTTTTTAATTATAAATATTAATTTATCATTTGAATTTTCTAGTCTAGTTTGAATGTGTGTGAATAATTATTTACTTGTTTTATGATATATTTTTTGGATCCAATAAGTAAATTTGAGCTGTAATACCACGTAGGCCCGTTAAAAATAAATAGTGTTCTTCGTAACCATTTCAATCAATGTTATCTTTTAATTATAAATGTAAAAGTTTTAAGATATTAATACTATTTTTTAATTATAAATATTAATTTATCATTTTTAATTATAAATATTCATCAAAGTGGAGATTAGGTCATTTTCAAGTCTTGGTCTAGAACCACTCTCTTAGTTTAGTTTTAAAATAAAAACATGTCACTTTAGATATTCTTTTAGCATATTAATTAAGATTTTCTAGTTGCTATGTGACAGTTTATATTAAAATATAATAAATAGAAAATAATTTTTATTTTTTTCTATTATTTAATCATATCTTTATCTAGAATCTTTCAAAGACTAATCAAATGAGCAAACACGTTTTTCCTTATTACCAGTACGTACTCAAGACTAACAGTAGCTTAGTGAAATTATTTACTCTCTGTACTCCTTTCATTATAGAATTCTCTAACCATTAAATTATCTACCAGAACTTTTATATCGATTCTTTTATTCACGAAAAAAAAACCTTTTTTAAAACATCTCGGCAGGGCCACGCTTCTAGCTAGACAATAGCTTTCTCATATGTTATGTACTACTAAACTCAAGTATCTGTGCACTCCCAAATTTCGAATATGCAGCTGGAACTCGATAATTGCACACCAAATCAGGCGTTCATTGGTATAAATTTTTAAGTCTAATGAGCCATTAGAAATAAAAAAAATAAAGAATCAACTTGTAAAGTGTGTAAGATTATAAGGTTTGAAATTGGAGCCCAAATTAAAAAAAATTAAAAGTTTGATGGTTATCTAATTATCCAATTAAACAAATGAAAAAACAATAACTAAATTATAAAAGTCACAAATATAGAGTTGACAATTAAATTTGATATTAGTGAAATTGCATGAAATTCCGAGTTAGGATAAAATTATAGATGAAATTAAAAAAAATTAGAAGAATAAAGATAAAATTAAAATTTTTTAAATTCTAAATTAAAAACTCTAATCTGCAAAGTTTAGCCTAAACGACGTGTTATTCAACTATTATGCATCCTTTTCTCAATAATTTTTGTTGATCGAGTATATATTTTCAGATGAATGTAAAGAATCAACTTATAAAGTGTGTAAGATTATAAAGTTTGAAATTAGAGCCCAAATTAGAAAAAATTAAAAGTTTGATGGTCATCTAGTTGTACAATTAAACAAATGAAAAAACAAGAACTAAATTGTAAAAGTCACACAAATATAGAGCTGACAATTAAGTTTTATATTAGTGAAATTGCATGAAATTCCGAGTTAGGATAAAATTATAGATGAAATTAAAAAAAAAATGGAAGAATAAAGATAAAATTAAAGTTTTTCAAATTTTAAATTAAAAACTCTAATCTGTAAACGACGTGTTATTCAACTATTATGCATCCTTTTCTCAATAATTTTTGTTGATCGAGTATATATTTTCAGATGAATGAATACAGTGGCTGTAACTATATTCTTCAATAATATAGTTGATCGAGTAGTCACTTTTGTTGTCCAAACTTCTGTAGTAGTAGTATATGATCACATATGGTACTGGATCACTTACAGACGGGTGAGTGAACTCAAGTTCCACAAGGTGAGAGGGATGCTACCATGAAGTTTATTCTTGGACAAATCACTGTTATGGTAATAGGATAGTTATCAATGAATTGAAGTCAGCATAATTACTTCGAATTATTATCATCATGTCATATGATACTCACATTGCTTTTAGGTGAACGAGACTAGCCAAGGCTGAAGCATTTATTTGTCCAGTCAAGTCCTGGTCTGGGAGCGTTCTACCACCCAAAAATGGCGTTAACATAGAAACCATAGCAACCAGTGAGTTTTAAAGAGGATGTATTGCCTGGCAAAAATAAAAGGAAATTGGATGAAGTTGATGAGGAACTTACAGGCGGGTGACATGACAAACTGTGCTCTTCTCATCAGTGCAATCGCATTTGATGTATTCAGGATTAGAGGGACAAGGCAAGAGTGAGTTTGGATGAAAACCCCACTGTAACGTGGTTAACAACTCTTCCAAAGCCCTTGCTGCCAAACGTTTTCAACAATGAAACATCATTTTTTTTTAGCAAAATTCAAACAGGTAGTATGCATTAATTAGGTTGTTATTAAAAATCTCATTAATGATGTAAATTGAACTAATGCAAATTGAACTGTCAACAACAAGCATGAAATCGTGTGTACCTTCATCTTCAGGCAATTAAGGCATGTCATATAAATTTGTTGCTTTACAGACTACATAGCCAAATTGACAAAGAAGAAGAAGAACGGCAAGAGAGGAAATAAGCTTAGGAAAGAGCTTATTAAGATAAAGCTTAGCCATTACTATAGTTTGCAATGCGACATGCATGAAATCCACACAAAAAAAGCCCTCTTCGTTCATAACTTATTATTAATTGGGTCATCTGAAAGAGAAGAGGATCTGCTTGGATAGGGATCAGAAGTTATTGAAGGAAAAGCTCATATTTAACAGATAAACAAATGTTCTTCCTTCTTTTGTATATAGAAGGAAAAGGATATATATGTAGATGGAAAAGTATATCGTGCATGTGTACCTTCGCCATCAGGCAACCGGCTGCTGTTAGAGAAACCTGTTGCTTTACAGACTACATAGCCATATTGACAAAGAAGAAGAAGTACGGCAAGAGAGGAAACAAGCTTAGGAAAGAGCTTGAGATAAAGCTTAGCCATTGCTACTTCCCATAAGACATACATTCTTTATAAAGATATTGTTTGACGTTTGTTTTACCGTTCAAAATTTCATTAACTCTGAATCAATTACCTCTCATTACCAAATTGTCCCTGGCCAAATATCAAAATACCCGAGAAAAGTAACTTGCAATACATAAAGCTTAGCCATTACTTTAGCATGCAATGCGACATGCATGAAATCCACAAAAAAAAAAAAATCCCTTTTTGTTCATAACTTATTATTAATTGGGTCATCTGAAAGAGAAGAGGATCAGCTTGGATAGGGAGAAGATATTGAATCACTTTTTGTTCATAACTTATTATTAATTGGGTCATCTGAAAGAGAAGAGGATCAGCTTGGATAGGGAGAAGATATTGAAGGAAAAGCTCATATTTAACAGATAAACAAATTTTCTTCCTTCTTTTGTATATAGGAGGAAAAGGATATATATGTAGATGGAAAAGTATATCGTGCATGTGTACCTTCGCCATCAGGCAACCGGCTGCTGTTAGAGAAACCTGTTGCTTTACAGACTACATAGCCATATTGACAAAGAAGAAGAAGTACGGCAAGAGAGGAAACAAGCTTAGGAAAGAGCTTGAGATAAAGCTTAGCCATTGCTACTTCAGCTTGCAATGCGCTTCCCTTAAGACATACATTCTTTATAGAGATATTGTTTGACGTTTGTTTTATCGTTCAAAATTTCATTAATTTGAATCAATTACCTCTCATTACCAAATTGTCCCTGGCCAAATATCAAAATACCCGAGAAAAGTAACTTGCAATACATTCTTTTTACATTGATTTTTGGAACCAAGATTGATACATAATTAATTTTGGTTGTTTTGTCTTAAATATTTGCTATAAAAGAATTGAAAAACCCTATATTTTTTGCCTAAAAATCAGATGCTTTTAATTAAAAACAAACTAAATTTATGAAGTGAAAGGTAATTATTCAGATTGTTCATTCATAAGCTGAATAAAATGGATTGATGAAAAAATATTTTAAAAATATAAAAACAAACACATCTTAGAATACAAAAAACTTTTCTATGCCCATCCAACGGCTCTGCTAAATGATTCGACCCATCATGGAATTGAAATGTGTACCTTCGCCATCAGGCAACCGGCTGCTGTTAGAGAAACCTGTTGCTTTACAGACTACATAGCCATATTGACAAAGAAGAAGAAGTACGGCAAGAGAGGAAACAAGCTTAGGAAAGAGCTTGAGATAAAGCTTAGCCATTGCTACTTCAGCTTGCAATGCGCTTCCCTTAAGACATACATTCTTTATAGAGATATTGTTTGACGTTTGTTTTATCGTTCAAAATTTCATTAATTTGAATCAATTACCTCTCATTACCAAATTGTCCCTGGCCAAATATCAAAATACCCGAGAAAAGTAACTTGCAATACATTCTTTTTACATTGATTTTTGGAACCAAGATTGATACATAATTAATTTTGGTTGTTTTGTCTTAAATATTTGCTATAAAAGAATTGAAAAACCCTATATTTTTTGCCTAAAAATCAGATGCTTTTAATTAAAAACAAACTAAATTTATGAAGTGAAAGGTAATTATTCAGATTGTTCATTCATAAGCTGAATAAAATGGATTGATGAAAAAATATTTTAAAAATATAAAAACAAACACATCTTAGAATACAAAAAACTTTTCTATGCCCATCCAACGGCTCTGCTAAATGATTCGACCCATCATGGAATTGAATGAATAAAAATAATAATGTATATGATTGAACCCATGGTATCTGAACATTGAGGAGGAAGTAATAAAGCATCTTTAAGATTTATGGTCAAGTCTTTGTTCATGTAATTCAGCATGATCTTTTGTTTTCATTGTCTAGTAATAATAAAAATCACAGTAAGTCAATTATTTAGAGATATTGTTTGACGTTTGTTTTATCGTTCAAAATTTCATTAATTTGAATCAATTACCTCTCATTACCAAATTGTCCCTGGCCAAATATCAAAAATACCCGAGAAAAGTAACTTGCAATACATTCTTTTTACATTGATTTTTGGAACCAAGATTGATACATAATTAATTTTGGTTGTTTTGTCTTAAATATTTGCTATAAAAGAATTGAAAAACCCTATATTTTTTGCCTAAAAATCAGATGCTTTTAATTAAAAACAAACTAAATTTATGAAGTGAAAGGTAATTATTCAGATTGTTCATTCATAAGCTGAATAAAATGGATTGATGAAAAAATATTTTAAAAATATAAAAACAAACACATCTTAGAATACAAAAAACTTTTCTATGCCCATCCAACGGCTCTGCTAAATGATTCGACCCATCATGGAATTGAATGAATAAAAATAATAATGTATATGATTGAACCCATGGTATCTGAACATTGAGGAGGAAGTAATAAAGCATCTTTAAGATTTATGGTCAAGTCTTTGTTCATGTAATTCAGCATGATCTTTTGTTTTCATTGTCTAGTAATAATAAAAATCACAGTAAGTCAATTATTTAGGTGATCATTAAATAGTAATAATTTAATATTAAGGAGTTTATTTTTTTATAATTTTAAATTTGAATTTTTAATTGCTCATATAATAATTATCAAAAACTTATATAATTATTAATTTTTAAAACTCATAAAATTAATTATTATATACATAAATTACTCCTAGCACCAACATTAATCTAAAAAACCACATCAAGTGCAGGTAAAGAGCATTCCGTAGATTAGCGCTCTATTAATTTCACATCACTTTTACCTTTCCTGATATTTTTGCCTAAAAATCAGATGCTTTTTAATTAAAAATAAACTAATATTTATGAAGTGAAAGGTAATTATTCAAATTATTCATTCATAAGCTGAATAAATAAAATAGTTGATGAAAAAATATTTTTAAAATATAAAAACAAATACATTTTAAAATACAAAAACTTTTCTATGCACATCCAACGGCTCTGCTAAATGATTCGACCCATCATGAAATTGAATAAATAAAAATAATAATGTATATGATTGAACCGCATTGAACATTGAGGAGAAAGTAATAAAGCATTTTTAAGATTTATGATCAAGTCTTTGTTCATGTAATTCAGCATGATATTTTGTTTTCATCCAGCATGATATTTTGTTTTCATCGTCAAGTAATAATAAAAATCACTGTGGTGCCTTACATGCCTACTGGGTTCGAGTCCTAGTGTGCACGTTTGTCACCTCTGCGGTGCCTTACATGCCTACTGGGTTTGCAGGATATTCAGTGGGCCGTGGGGATTAGTCGTGGTGTACGCAAGCTGGCCCGGACACCCTACGTAAATAAATAAATAAATAAAAACCACATCTAGTCAGGGTGGTTAAGTGATAAAAATTTAAAATTTAAAAATTTATTTTTTTATAATTTTAAATTTGAATTCTTAATTATTTATATAATAATTATTAAAAATTTATAAAATTATTATTTATAAAATTAATTATAATGTATATAAATTCACCCGAATACCAATATTACTCTTAATTAAAAAAACCACATCAAGTTCAGGTAAAGAGCATTCCGTAGATTAGCGCTCTATTAATTTCACGTCACTTTTACTTTTCCTTTAATTTGAATAGACTAACATTTTATCCTTTAAGAAGTACTTTCATCAATGTGGAAAACGTGCAATAAACACGTTTTATTTTCAGACAAGATAAATCGAAATTTCACCGAACCATCACGTGATGACCTGCCGACGTCAAAAAGATTATAATTATTGATGATATACACCTTCACTTCACTCTCCAATATTTGTCTTCACCAAAGCATTGCTACGGTAAAAGCGCTATTTTCGTACAGAAACAAATACTAATGGTTACTGCAAGTTTATTTTTCTAATGCAATTTCAAAATATGTTTTACTGGAAAACAAATACTAGTAAAATTTAAAATTAATAGAATACTAATAGTTTAAAATGTATAAATAACTTATATTTGGATTCTCTCTATGAAGTTCTTATTCCTTGACATGATTTTTAAGGGTTGGGAGTTACAAAAAGAAAATAATTGTTGTACTACAAGTTTCTCTATATTGTTGGCACCTCATTAAATATATAAATAACCCATATGTATTATACGAGGATAAGTCAAATATCAAACTTTTTATTTTATTTTCCATGCCCTTGTGCATGCTTACAATTATTTTAATTTTAAAAAATTCTTTAACTTGGACTTTTGTTTTGGATTAATTATAATAAATAATAAAACCATGCATACAAAAGAAAAAAAATATCTTATTTCACTTTAATTATCATGTATTGATATTCAAATATTGCAAAATAAATTAGTTGGTGTGCTAGTAATTCAATCAGAAGATTTGAATAATTTTCACTTGATTTTTCATAATTTTTCAATAATTGATAACATGTAAGTTTAAGATTAATTTCACAATTGTATTTTAATTTTTTTATTATCATGAATTTGATTAGTTACTAAGTGGTGCATAAATAATGTTTTTAAAATCATAATTAGATTAATAGTCCAACGAGTTAGAAAGTTTTATTCACTTTACTTGATATAATTTGTAATTAAAACACAATATTCTAATAATATTTTATTAATTAAACATGATTTTTATAACATCATAAATTAAATAATCTTTAAAAATTAACTAAGTGACCATGCTTTCATAATTGTTATACATATATAACAATTAATGAAACAAATTCATATATAATTTTTGATAATGAAGATCAATAAAGTAAAAAACCATAATGAATCTATAAAGTCAACAAAGATAAACTTTTAAAAAACCATCCTACTATAAAAATTTAAACTATTAGTTAAAATCTAAAAATATAATTTATATTATTCTGTAATACACTTCCTCAAATAAAAATCTTGGGGGCATGATACTTTTACATGCTTAAATTACTTTGTTCTATTAATTAATTTTGATCTTAAAAGAGAACAAAGACGGTGATATTAGAATTCATGATATTTTAATTGATAATGCTTTAATACTATGTTATAGAATCATCTCCACTTATAAAAATTTAAGTTGGTAAGTGGGATTCTAATATATAATTTATATTATTCTTCAATATAGAAGAGGTGTGATTTCTCATTTTAGAAGTTATTAAATTTAATGAAAAATTCCCTCTATATTGATTCCAAACTAAATAAAATAACTTTAGGAAATAATTCATTTCTAATTGATAAGCAAACTTTTTATATATATAAAGAATGTATTGTATATACAATCTAACACCAGTAGTAATAATAATAAAAAATTAAAATAAAGATTATTTTCAAAATGTAAGATTTAAATTAGAAAACAAATTGATACAAAAGTCATTTAATGGAATTGTTAGCAGAAATAACTATTATTATTATATCAATTGTTAAAATTTACATTTTTTTAATTAAAATTTGATATATTATTAAATAATCTTTATATTAATAATTTATTTATCAAAAAAAATAAAATAAAAAGTGAATCATATACAGAACACTTCATGTAATTACTCATATCTCTCAAGATTATTATTATTATTAAGAATTTATTGAAAAGACCATAAAGCCAATAGCCAAAGAAAAATGAAGGAACATTATAAGAAAAAAAACCAAATTTAGAAAAAAATTAATCTACTACAACGACATTATAAGAAAAAAAAAATTTAGAAAAAAATTAATCTACTACAACAAAAACTAAGAGATTACCTAAGATTTTTTATTACACAATAATTTGATATCATTAAAAGATCCTAAGAGGTCATTTCCTATATAAGTGAAGTTTAAATATAGAATATGCATTCAAATAGCAACTCGATGAAAGAAGGTGGAGAAATAATAAAAAAAGCTTATAGTTCCTTCCTCAAAAATAGTTTTGTTCCTCAACAACCAAATATCCCAAATAGTATTACTAGAGATTACTCTCTAAGCTAATCTTTGGAATTTTTCTTGCACCATTTCAGACCACTATAGAAGTAGTGAGTTTAGTGTGCTGGATAAACAACATTGGATACCTTATCAATCCAAAACTTTCATCCAAACATTCATAGAAAAGTTATAGTGGATAAAAAGGTACTCTAGAGTTTTCAAATATGAGCTGTAAAAGACACATGAAACTTGTGTGGCAAATAAAACATTTCGGTGATGAAGAAAAGCTCTTGTACTAACTTTTTCCTAGATTGCTAACTAAAGAAACACTTGGACTTTGTCCTAGAAACGTTACGCCTAACATTGTGAATCTGACTGATTCTACACCTTATCTTGGTAATGATCATTTGCTTATTGGTGATGGT